ATAAAACAACTACATAATTGCGAAATATCCAAGTTACATTGATACAGTGCTGCAAAAGAAAATTATGTTTACTGTCTGCACGTACTATGTAGTAAATTAGTAATACCGAGAAAGTCCAACAGGCAAAGGAGATGGAAATCACCCTCACCCTGAAAGGTACATTGACAACATAATTTGTACACATTGCATGGATAAAAGGCCAACTATTCAATTACTTTCGCCCAAAATTGACGAAAACTCTGGTGATTGATGCTCATGAAGAGACGAAGAACCAGTTCATACACACACTGCTCTTTGGAATGGAGTTGGAGGATTAAACAACAACATAATCCCAAAAGACCATACATCACTTTTTCAAGAGCTTGTGAGAGAAAATCCTCTTGGAATAAGGACTATTGCGTGAGATCGCCTTATGGGACTCAATTGCATCAACCAACGAATTGTGAACCGGACCCTGTTCCAGTAGAAACATTTCGTCAAAAAAGATTAAACTTTCAGATGAGCAGATCAACCGCGTGTGCATGTATATTTGCATAATGTGTTTCATGATCAATGCTTCCAAATAAAATTCAAGCTTGAAAAGAAACGTGTTTTCATATAAACATTTGTCTGAAACTAAGTGGAAGCATACCTCAGAAACCCGAAGAGCTGTTTGAACAACATAATTTGCATGCGGATCCTGAATCAACTGCTCAAAATAAGTTGCAGACAGCAATTCGCAGATGATTTTTGATCGAGTTTCATTGTTACACACCACGAGACACTTTTCAACAACATGGCTACCAAACTTTTGGGCCGAGAGATGCACATAGTTACCCTCGAACTGAGATGTCAACTTGGATTCGGCAGAAGGGATCTTGAGTTCTAAAATAAACTGAACAACATAATTTCTGCAAGCCAATGCATATCCCGTCTTCAGATAAATGTAGTAACATGAGGTATACATAAATCAAGTATCCACACAAGTAAAGAAGAAGAATATACATAATGATAATGTAGATATTTATTTTTCACAAAAGTCTTGGCAAATGAACTAGAATCCAACGAGAAGAAGAATACATAATTTAACTATAATCTAGAAAACCAACCGGAGATAATAAGGGACACTAATCACCAAAGAAACAAAGGATAACTTGCTTCTATCATATTTGGTATGAAGGATTGGATAAATTTAGAGACCACAAATCAAGAAAATGAAGATAAAATTTTGTTTGTAAAACGGTCTAGTCTTCGTATAATACTATATACCAGATATGTACTTCCGGCATATCTTTGAACAGCACATTAAGCTATTGCTACTCAAAATAAAATAGAATCATACGAGAAAAATTGGCTACAGAGTAACACAAACTCGGTTACAGAAAGTGAGATGGATTTGTAGTTACCTAGTACTACTATTGATGAGAGAACATATCATCAAAATAAATCTTTTTCTCTTTCTTTTTTCCCTTTTTCTTTATAACTATTAAGTGAATCTATCAAATTCTAGAAAGCAAAATTTATCGAGAACAGTGGGTCGAAATCGAATGGTCCCTTGGAAACAAAAGAAAGGGAAAGTAAAGATAAGACATTCAACATCATGATCTACCCAAAATTAAAAGTTTGTGCATTAGTCCAAAAGAATGAAAAGAAAAAAAAATTAAAAAAAAAATGAAAGAACAGTGGTCTGAAAAAGAATAATAAACCTATAAACTCCTTTGCCTCAGAATTGATGAGGCATTATATAATTATAACTTAGGAAACATTAAACTTCAAACTTAAGCATCTTTCTACAATAAGAATTTCAAGAATTGTAAATGAAAAACATCAATCTAACGAGGACCCAAAAAGCAGAGAACTGAAATTTTGGATTGAAAAGTTTCTATGAAGCATGGGGGGATCAAGCTTATTTTCGGCTGTAAAAATTAATATCAAAAGAAACTGAAATGGATAAAAAATATAACTTGCTAACTGATATTAATTTTAAAAATAGTTACCCAAATGCATCTTGAGCAAGAAGAAGCCCATTTGCAGAAATTTCTGCTACCAAGTTCTCCCAGGGCTCACCAGTTGCATGGCTGATGCATCGTTGCAGAACACAGCATCCATGTTTATGTGTTGCGATATCAACACAGTAATTTGCAGCAGCAACAAAAATGAACTGCAAATGAAAAATCAACAACTGTCAGATAAGAGTTTTAATCACTTAAATCAGTTAATCTTACCATCTGCCTAAATATGCCCTTGTTTGAGCCCCATTTTTCCACCAAAATGTATTCTTGAACAGTGATTTAATCCTATTTCAACCACACATTCTTCAATAAAAAAACGTTACATGAAAACCTAAAATTTATCCTTATTTTTTAACCATACATTATCCATCATAACACTATTACAAAATGAAAATTTAAAAATTTAAAAAAAAAAAAANTATGAATGGAATGGTTACAAACATGTACTGTAGATAATACATATACACACTCTGGTACGTTCCCAAGCCATTAAACCTGGAAATTTGAAACGGACTCTCTCTCTCTCCCTCTCTCTACATACACGTCTCTCTGTATGTATATATTTGTACTACAATACAGTGAGGAGTTTTTTGTGTGAGAAAATTTGTTAAGAAATAGTGAAATACTATACAATATTATACATGCAGTTTTGTTATGTTACTGTCAAACGTTGTGTAATTTTGTCACGTTAATAAGATTGATTGAAATTCACGTCGGTGGTCCGCTTCTTGCCTTAGTTGTTCAATCGTTTATTACAGTTGCACAATTAATTTTCAATTAATGACATTAGTGTAAACATGTCACATGATTTTTGTATGTTTTTATTTTTTCCAAAGTTTGGTTTTGTTTTACGATGTGGGTCCGGGGGCGTATTTAATGAGGATTATGTGGCAACTTAATGAAAATTTAGACGGTTTTCACTATAAGGATTTGTACACATAAAATTATCGATTAAGGACTAACTTGCTTCTTTCCAAAAATTGAGGACCATTGAGGCGATGGATTAAGGGGACAGAATTTTCTTTGTATAAAATGCTTTTGGAGAGTGCTTGATTCCCATTTTTTTCAAAATACATTTTTTCTCTCTTCTTCTCAACTCATATTTTTCATTAAAATAATATTACACATTTATGCTCAAATCAAAAAAATTTACTTCTTTTTTAACCACACATTATCCATCAATCGACTATTTAAAAATACATTCTTTAAAAAGAATGTTGCTCACACCCACCCTTAATTTCTATTATTTGTTATTTCATTTATAACCATTATTATATTTTAATAGAAAGAAAAGGTCCAACTAGAAACCAGAGCTTCTTAGAGCCCCATTTTTTGTCGAAAATGTATTTTGGAATAGTATTTTGATAGAAAATATGTGTTTAAAAAATAAGAAAAATTTTGAATTTACGTGTAATATTATTTTTTTAAAAATGTGTGGTTGAAAATAAAGAAAAATATATTTTGAAAATTCGATTGAACTCCTCAATCTTTGCTTTATTAAAACTCTAATATCGCTATTTTTTTCTACGCATTCTTATAATCAACATTTCATTAATTAGCTCATTCTCTAATAACGATTATCGTTCGAAAGTTCATTGAAAAGATGCTTATTTTTTCATCATATTTGAAAAACAAACAATAAATGCAGAAGTGTGATAAAGCATACAAATGTAATATCTAAAATAAATCATTTTCAAGGACTAGATGTGGTAATTGATTAAAAGTTGAAAATAAGTATCAATGAAAAAAGACTTAAAACATAGACATTGTATTGAGCAAGATTTTAAATGCAATTAAAATGTACCGCAATAAATACTCCCTCCGTCCCATAAAAATAGTCACGTTTTCCTTTTTATCTGTCTCAAATAAGAGTGGACGTAGCGTGGTTCGATTCGATTCTAAAAGGAATTTAACCAAACCAAACACCAATGAAAATCTTAGAAATGGAACCATTGGTTCCACATCCAACTATAGAATTGAATCAAAATCGAACAAATCGATTCCAATTCTATCTAGTTTGGTTCTTTATATTGAAAAATCATAAAAATAAAGTATGCAACTATTTGTTAATTGAAAAAAGATAAAAAAAAAAAAAAATAGAGCATGAAATCACTTATTATTCTTTTAATCTAACGACACCAAAAATCAATTGAACAAGAGAACAAATGAAAATTCAATCAAAAGCTCAAAATCAACTCATAAAGGCGAAAAAAGATAAATTATTAAACACGGCATATGCGGTAAAATCTTGATTGAAAATAATTTTTTAAGAAAATTTGTATAACAATAACTTGATTATCATTAGAAATCCTCGGGGATCTTGATTTTTTATGGCTAGTTGGAAACAACGAAAATTTTGAATTCTTATGAAATATTAAACTAAAAATATATTTTTCTTATCGGGTTGCATTAAAACTATGAATTTGTAAAGTATTTATAAAATTATTTAGACTTGAATTTTGATTACCACTAAAAGAAAGAAGAAAAAGCATATAAAAATGAAATTTAAAATGTGAGTTAATTTTGACGTATAATGTTCAAAGATTTAGTGCATCTTGGTGCAAGCAAAAAGAGAAATTCGGGAGAATTAAATTCACTATTGGTTCTCAAGGCAATATCGAGAATCGGGCTAGAACTGATCACTTCTCGATGCATTGTTTCAAAATCAATCCGTTTAATAGAGAAATTGAATCGACCGATTCTATTTGATTCAGTCTGGTTCTACTGGTTATGAGAATAAATGTCCACCCCTAGTCCCAAATTTAGTCATGCTTCTTATTTAAAAATGTAGTCAATAGTTTTCCGATACGCTCTTATTTGAGTGCTTTGTTATTAAAAATATAAATCACTCCATTATTCCATTGTAGTTGGAACAATAAATTAAAAATCGAAAAATATTTCATCTTCCTTGACATTTATTCATTTGTAATTGTATTGGATAACTTTGGAATGTTTATTACCTTGATTCTTGTATTAAACAATGACTAGTACCAAGAATAGTTTAATTACCTTGAATGTTGTATGCATAATTTTAATTTGAATATCGATTGTATTAATGTATGGGTATATTAGGAAAAGTGATGGTAAATTTTATTATTTCAAGTATATTAACTAAATTTTTTTAGTCTATGTGAAAAAGTAACAGGACTATTTTTATGGGATGGATGGAGTAATAATTATGGTTTGTATATAATTAGTCATATAATTATCCCATTTAGATCTTTTAATTATCTTAAATGACAGAACATCCTTTATTTTTTTTTTTTTTTTTTGGCATGTGGAACTTCATTATTATTCGTAAATATGTTTTTCTTTCTCCCAAAGTTTTTACATTATTTGTTACTGTATACATGTGTACATTTTGTTTTAATTTACATGAATACTCTAATGGAAATTTTTGTCGCGTAGAATTGTCGTATTATAAAAAAATCACATTTTATATCGAAGTATAAAAACATTTTTATACTGTACTAAAGCTATAAGAATGTGTGAAAAAAGAATATTGCTCATTGTACACCATGCTATAGTGTGAGAGGGCCCACTTGCCCCCCAGGGCACTTCTCCACTGGCAAAGGACGGACGCTGTCAAACCTGGCAGAGCAGAGGTCGTGAGTTCGAAACATGGGGCTCTTGGAAGGCAAGGATTTATTCTTGGAAGGCAAGGGAACATTTGGAAGGCAAGGATTTATTCTTGGAAGGCAAGTGGGAACTTGGAAGGCAAGGATTATTCTTGGAAGGCAAGGTGCAACTTGGATTGGCTTGCTTGGCACTTTGTCAGACCAGGTGGGGAGCGCTCGGACCCTGGCCAGTTGGAGGCACATCCTGCGATTAACCGGACTGTGTGAAGAGGGGCCGGATCACAGACCCAAGGATTAGTCTAGAATAGGACACCTTGTAAAAAATCATTTTTTTTTTTTTTTTCTTTTTTTTCTTAAAAAAAAAAAAAAAAAAAAAAAAAAAAAAAAAAAAAAAAGAGAGGGCCCACTATGAATAAAAAAACTGTGGGAACTATACACCATGCTATACAAAGCATTGTGTACATATAGCAGCTCTCATGAAAAAATTCATGAGTTTTACATCATCTGAAGATACAAAGCAAATCACCTATGGGACCCAACAAACTATGTAGGCACGGCCCCTGTCAGAGTTAATCGATTTTATAATATTTTTTAATTAATTCTCTAAAAAAGAATAAAAAGAAAATTCGATTTGTGTTCTAAGAGTTATGCTTGTCAGGACATGCCTTTCTAAACGGGTCATGCCTAACTTGAAGTCAAAATTCTGATAAAAATACGTTGATTCTAACTGGCAATATATGATAAAAATGTAAAGAAGTGTTAATTGCTAGATTAGAAAGTACATAATAGATAATCCATTGAATTTCTGAAACTTGATATATTATTCAACGTTAATGAAATGTGGTAATATGGCAGAATTATTGATTTCATGGACCATGCTTATTGTGTCACGATCTAATAGTTAATCAATTTGGGTCAATAATGGTTTTGCCAGAGCTCAAAATGGTGTGGTGATAGAGAGTTATGAACCTGTAAAAATGCACATGCCAATACCATGCTCTGTGTTTACTTACTTTCCAAATTGGGTGAAACAATAGAAATTACACTCTGGGTATATTTGGTTGTTTGATAGAGCTTTTAATAATTTTTTAACAAATTTTAATAAAAGTTGATAAAAATGTGTGATTCAAAAGCTAATAAAAATGTTTCTTTCTCTTTTGTGTGTATATAGGTGGTTGTCTTTAGAGGTTGATTTATGAAGTGGAAAGTTGAAGCCTTTCACCTTTATATGCCTCAAGGGTTTTAGCCATGGAATTGAAATAGGAATTGCAAAAATTGGTTTGTCAAAATTGAAACGGAAATTGCAGATTTTTGAAAAAAAATTGATACATGGGAATTCACACATGAAAATTGCAGAAATTGGTTAGTGGGAATTAAAATGGTAAAATGGGCTTTCCATTTGCTTGTTAATATGTGCTGAAAATACACAATTACATGACCATTAATTTTTCGGGACACAGACGATACATTACCATATCCATGATGATCAAGATTATGATGATGAGATTTGGCATGTGTGATTTGAGTATTCAATGAAGATGTGGCATGTGGAATCTCACCCAAAAGCCTTTCAAGCTCATCATCATCCTTCA